TACTCTTTTCCATCACCAAATCTACAACCTACAACAATTATGAGACAACCAAATCCGACACCATATCTCTAACACAATCATGCTCCTAAACAATTTTAACTACAACAATAATACAACAACTCACATACGTCTCTAACAACTCCAGAATGCTGCTTCCACAACTCAAAATATTTTACTCTCTGCTAACTTCATCCTCCCACCCCCACACAACCATACTACCACTGCAACTATCATTATAGAAATGCATAAACTCAGAATTACTATACTAAGCAGAATGAATTTATGGCCAATTACTCTCAACTTCAAAGGACATAGCATCGACCAATTAATCAACCAATGCCCAAATCTGCATACTATTAAAGCAAAAACCAACAAGATGAACATCTTTGCCATTGAGCAGATCACTAACTACAACAATACTACCCCACTACAATAGAATTTCATTGCATACACTACTAACAAAACTCCTCAAAGACCTGTACCCAAATGGTTCTATCAACTAACATCAGTTCTAACTACTCAAATTAACTCTGAACCAATTAACTTCACTAGCAAACTCATTTTTCCAAACCCCTATACTCTACTTACCAAGGAACCTACCAAACATTCATGGATCACTACAACCTATAAAGATACTACAATTATTAGCAGAAGTACTAAACTCCAACAACCATATACCAACATTATACATTGGATATACATACCTATCAACAACAAATTACAACTCCACAGATGCATAGGATGTGAACTAACAACATCCCAAATGGCTTCAATCACTGTACCATACAAACCAAAACCATCTATCTACTACCTATCCGAGGCTCACGCACCTATCTACTCCAATCTAATATTGATGATATCCACCTAATGTCTCATCTAAAACCAATTAACTGCAACTCTACTAATACTTCTACTACTATTTACAGACACAACGAACAAAACCTTATCACTACTATTTTCTAACCTGAACCCGTAACCGAACTGATACAAAACTTGAGAAACACTTTTCCCCATCAACACCAATATATTATCGACATCATATCACATAACAAATTGCATTTTAATATATATGTTTATTTTTTTTATTAATATTGCATCCATTAATTTATGATATAATAAAAATAAAAATTTTGGCAATAAAAATATTCTCCTCTTATATACAAGTATCTCAGTTAATTTTTTTAATAAATAATTATTTCGACAATTAGTCTGCTAAAATCAGTTTTCTATAGTTAGCAAAATTAATGCGAAATTATTGTTGAGATTACCATAAAATCTGAACATGTGTACCCCAGGTATTTTCATTATCCAATTTTGTACCTCTATATGATTTTTTGGTGACGCTTAGTTCATGGGTTTTCCCTTGGCGGCACTCAATTGATAGAGTTAGGTACGTATCTGCATGATATAATAACAAAATTTATAAGCTCAGTGCAATCGTATTAAAAAAGTTATATATGTGTGTAGTTCAAAAGTTAATATAATAAACATTATTAATTCTAATTTATTTATTACTAGAGTCGAGTTAGTATTTGAATAGAACTTGGATCAAATATATAGTGTAACAAATACATAGAAGACACAAGTTTCATACAAGTCACTCTTATTATAGTGAAGTGATCGAGCTGAGAAAAAAAAACTTCACTATAGCATATATCGAGAGAATACTATATAAACTTCATTATATCAAGAGAAGAGTTAATAATAATGGCAGTAAATTTTAAAAAAATTCTTCACTATATCAAGATTTTTACTATATCGAGAGTTCACTACAACGAGAGTGATTTGTAATTATAATTGGAAAAATAATGTTAACTATTATTAAAACTATACTACTATTCTTATGTAATTATCTGAATATGTTATTTTTCTAATATAAATATTATTAGACTTATTCAACTTATTCTCCAAGAGGTATCAGGAAAGTATCGCTTATATATTTTTTTCTTTATTCGATACTCCTCCTGCTACTATATTATCTAAAATAACACTCCGAAGTAGAGTTAATACTTAGGTACTAAGAAACTTGTAGGTTGCTTAATAAACTTATATGTGTTTTCATAGTAAGATATCAGTAATGAGAAACAAATACAGTAATGCCTGATGCAAAAATTTATAATAGTATTATACTATTTCATAAATTATTATTTTATTCCAAAATATGATACTGATTATAAATTGAGATTTATTTTAAACTAAAAACTAATTTAAATTCACAATAAAAAATATTTATAAACTTACACAGTACATTGTAATAAATTTATCTAATTATTTAATTCTTTATCAATATCAATACCTAATAAATTTTTTTTTTCAATATTAGCTAGTTCTTGAGTATGAAGATTAGCTAACTTTGCTTGTTTTTTAATTTCTAAAATTTCTTTTTGATGTTGAAATTTGTAATCTATTAATTTGAGCTTTCTCAACTTTTCTTTTTTAGCAATTTCAATATCAAGACTATTCAATTCTTCATTGCTTGTTGTAATAATGTTGGAATTTGGTAAGCTTCGTTTGTTTGCAGGATTATCTTTTTTACATTTTTGGTTTTCTAAAAATATATATATTATTAAATATAATATATATTTAATTAAATACAGTAATACTAAATCACATCAGTAGTATTCAATACCATATATTTTTTTTAATAATTTTTCTAATAAATTTAGGGTAAGGATTCTAATTAAAGAAATATTCCAAATTTTAGTTGAGGTGCTAAATATTTTTACTTATTATAGCTAGCATTGGCTATTTGGTTAGTCTTTGAGATATAGCAACTATGGTGTTAGACACCACTGGTATGATTTAGTAAAACCGATCAAATTAATAACATATATAGCAATAGTCATTAATTTACCTAATCGTTTAATTGATTTAGTAGCTCTAGCTATAGAACCTGATGAGCGACTAGTTTTTGAAACATTGTAGTTACTTTGATATCTACATGTTGTGAAGTGACATTCATCTAATCGTTTTCCTCTATATCGATATATGTATTTTAAAAAATTTTAGTATATAAATTTTTAATTAATAGAAAAAAAATAAAAAATAAATTTAAACTTTTTAATTACTAGCAATAAACTCATTTGAATACCTTCTCGATTAGTATCAGCATGAGCAGACTCAGCAATATTTGTATTTTCTCCAGCCTTACACCAATCTTTTTCAATAATATTTGAGTAATGATGATTTAAAAATGCCAATCGCCATAATTTTGAATAATAATTTTTCCACTCTGTAATTTATAAAATAAAATAATATTATATTATGCTATAATGCTATTAATATAATATATATAGTTGACCTCTTATAAATGTTATTAATAAAAAAAATGTGTATATATACATAAATACTGTAAACATAGAATTAAATCTTAATTACTGTAAATATGCATATATAAGACCTGGGTCTAGTTTATTCCACTAATTTTTAAATTCCTTCTAGTATAATGCTCAGATTATATTATAAAAGATAAAAAATTTAAAGTGTACTTATAATAAGCAGTCTAGCTATTTAATAAAAAATTATATTTTATTAATAAAGTTCTGTAGTTTAGAGCTAGATTTTAACTATAGTGGATTTATTTTATATATACATATTTACGGTATATATATGATATGATATAATAAACTAATACCTAATGCACCATCTTCATTTGATTCAGAAAATTCTTGAAATATAGTATCTACACGTTCTTTATTAGCTACTAATATTTTATACATTAGATTTTTTAAATCACTTGATAGCTTTGATTTAAAAATATTTCTATTAAAAAAAACTATTAAATTTATTTTAAAATAATTTTTAATTATATGCAAAATTTTTAAAATCTATCTACCTTTTGTAATGTACTTGACATGACTTAAAAATATAAGTTAAGTGAGTTTCCTAGTCTTTTGTTTGGTCTAAATCTACAAGTGCTAATTCGAGACCTTTTGCTTAGGCATTATCCAAATCTCCAAGAATAACTCTCTAACCGTTATTATGAATATGTCTAATTTGAACTTCTTGTTGACAAAGTTCACTAATAGTTTCAATCACAGCTTTAAACATACGTTTGTAAGTACTTGCAGTTGAAATATTCGTAAAAATCCATGCATAAGTAAGTACTAAAATATTACAATTAGTATGTTCTAACATAGTTATATATAAATAAATTACTTTATTCTAATTTTACTTAACTAATATCATGATTAATATTGAATTTATTAAATTCAAGTTCATTAATTTTTCTATGAACTTGTTTAAAAGTTAAGTCGACTTGAAAATATTGGGCATTCAGAAGCTTAAATGCTATATCCTTATTCATACATAGTATAAAAGCATGTCTATCTTCAAAAAATGCTATATATAAATATTTATTAAATTAATTATTAATATATACATAATAATATATATATAATATATAATAAAGCTATACAAAGTTAATTTCTTGGTTTATATAACCCAGTTGGGTCAAAATTTATAGATCTTTGAAAAAAAATTTCATATGTAATTTATTATAAAATTTCTGGGTCAGTTTTTTTTAAAAAATTTCATATATTTTTATATTTTTCTCTAAAAAAAATCATATGAAATTTTTTATAATTTAAAATAAAAAGCCAGGCTGCCAGGTCATTTTTAAAATTTTATGTTATGAAAACCAAGAAATTAACTTTGTGTGGCCTAATAATAAAATATATTAATTATTTATTTACTAATTTTTTGAACATATTCACGAATGTCATCCAAATTAGATGAAAAAGTATGAACTAAACCTAATACACCTTGTCCATATGAGTAGACTGAATTTTGAACTCGACTAACAAGGTAGCGAAGATGATCAAGATTTTTTTTTTTTATTATAGAATGAGGCCTTGCCTTAGATTTTATTGAGTTTAATAATATAAGGACAATATGATTGTGTTACATTAATTGACTACTATTACCTAAGCTAGGACTAGTTTACCTCTCGGCCTGTACTCTACTAGAGTGGGCCAAAGACCTCATCTAGATTTGGTATTGAATGGTTGCTATAAACATATCAGTGATATTGGATTTGGCGTAGATTTTTGCCTAATTGTCAATTTTTTTTTTGGCTAACTATGTAGTATAGTTATGGGTATAGATTTGTTCTAAGGAAGTTGGTGGAATATCAATTGGTACATTGCTTAAGGTGGAAGTAGAAGTTTTAGCAGATAGCTGTTAGCATCGTGGGATCCAGATTTGCTTGTATATTTGTTAGATAGTTTTGTGGAGTAAATGTGTGCTATGAGGTATTTTGTTAGTTGGGATTGTTAGGTGTTGGGAGAGATTTGTAGTTAGAGCTGTTGGTATAAGGCTTTGGAGTATGAGGTTTGTGTCTGCTGAGAGATGAGGAGAGGATATATTGAGGTGTTCGAATATGATTTGGCAGATATCTGGTATTAGCTCCCGGTATATCTCCTTGATATGTTTGTTTATGTACTTGGTGGTAACTGTATTGATAATATTGGAAAGTGGAATAGAGTTGTTAGGGCAGATAATCCAGTGAGTATTAGTCTCAGTAGTAAGTTTGCATCGTTGACATTCTGCTGTAGTTATTTTTTTTGGGTGGCGTGTGTAGAGATTTTGCTGAGTTAGGAGTTCATCCATAAGGAGTTTTATTTTAAATACTTTAATTGTTGAATATTTGGGGGAGGTTTGTAGGCTGTTTGGTGTATTATGCATGTTGATATATTTGTGGGTAGCTTTCTAGTCTGTAATGTTACGTAAGCTGTTCCAGTTTTGTGTTCATTGTTATGAATGCCAGATAGCAGTGTAGTTGGCTTGTTGTATATGTTTGATTACTGTTCGGGTTTTGTTGTCAATTGGTGTTTGTTGGAAGATAGGGATAAAGGTATTATAATCGATATTAGTAGCTGCAAAGGTAAGTAAAGGTGTTTGGAGGAGGTTAGCAGTGAGCTTGTTTGTACTTTCAGTAAGATTTACTTGTAGTTGAGTATTTGTTCGTGCAATTAAGATGAAGATGAGATGCCATAGAGGCCAGTGTTTAGTCTTTTGGATTTTGTTGAATCGATGGGATATTTGTAAGTTTAGGAAGTTGTATATATTGATAATGGAGTTAGATGTAGTATTGATTATAATATTGCGGTTTAGTGGGAGTATGAGAAGTATAGTGATGATTGCAGTACAGATTGCTCTGGTATAGGATTGCCATTGATTGATTTGGGAAGTGAAGGTATTAGTATTATTTAGGTTCCAGTTGAATAGTATGCTTGTTTGTGTAGTTTTAGGGAAGTTGATATGTGATGTGATGTCAATAATATATTGGTGTTGGTGGGGGAAGGTGCTTCTCAAGTTTTGCATTAGTTTAGTTGCTAGTCTAGGTTGGAAGATAGTAGTGATAAGGTTTTGTTCATTGTGTCTGTAAGTAGTAATAGAGGTATTGGTAGAGTTGCAATTAATTGGTTTGAGGTGAAACGTTAGGTGGATGTCGTCAATGTTAGATTGGAGTAGGTAGATACGTGAGACTCGGATAGGTAGTAGGTAGATAGTTTTAGATGTAAATCGCGTCCCCTCAGCATGTTCACTATTTTATACATACTGTGTTCCGATTTGGCGATCTGTGCCTTCAATAAGACGATTTAATTGAGTAATTCATCTTCACGACTTTAAGTGATAGTTGGCCCTAGTTGACATGAATATGCAAATTGGAATCAAAGCCAGGCAAGGTAAAACTAAATTACACAACTGCACTCACCAGGTAGACACTCAACAATAATATGTATATATTTTTTAGTGGATTGTTCATTAAAATAATCTTGAACTTTATTTGATGCTAATAGCTTTGTACCTTCTAATTTTTGTTCGACCATAGCATATAGAAAAAAGCAAATTCAATTATGTAATTTGCAAATGATATTAGAATAGTGTAGTTTTAAAAATATGTTGAGACATTTTTAAATTTATTTTGTTAATACTGTATAATTAAAAGATCAAATGTTTTTTTAGTCGTGAATTTTAATAGTAAAATATAAGTTTATAATATAGAGGCCCGAAATATTTGCATATAATTCTTAATGTCGCAACATAATTTTATAGCCACACTATCCAAATATCATTTACAAGTTGCAGAACTAGAGTTAGAACGTTTTAAGTATGATTTAAATTAAATAATATATACTGTATTATATATATCATACTTAAATCTATATTTAAAACGTTCTAACTGGGGATGTTAGCCTGCTTAATTATGATTACTTTTTGATATATACCTAATTAAACTTATTCGTAATATTTTTAAGAACATATTTTATTAATGGCAGTCAATAATTTAGCTCGATTTGAAAGAGA